CATGCAGGTGTGTTATATGGTAACTATTCTCAAGCTCAGCTCAGAACCAGCACCAGTCCAGGATTCAGTCCATTTCCACAATAAATTATAATTTCATAGATAATAATGAGAAAGAAAAAGTCAGGAAGTTACGACTCCCTAAAATGTATAACTGAGTTTTCACGCTTCCTAATTTAAAAACCCGTCAAATTGACTGCTCTGGGATTTCTATTGTTAACAAGAGACATCTGACACAGGCAGAGGGACAGCAGCAGCAATAACCCAGGGAAGTTGTGGGAGGAACCATAGAGGAACAAGTATAAACAGAAAGTCATGCATCAGCGCGTCACATGACCTGCTGAGAAAAAGACTTCTTTCTCCATCAACCCGATTCTTACGTCCAATAAACTTTACAGCGTCAATGAATGCGCTTTGTGGGATACGCGCACCTCAGACCTCATCTTGTAGGACTTTCCCCAAACTCGTGGTAACTTACTTGCGTCCCGCTCAGGGCGATACTCCCTGCCATCAGTCCGCCGCAGAGAAGGACCACCCGCCGCTCTCACTTCTACCTCTGCATGAACAAAACCAACTCCAACCGCGTCTCGTTATATACAGACTATTATAGACTAAAGAGAATATGGAATAAGTCTGTCCCAGCTCCTGGAGCAGATGCAGGGTTTTAGAGTTTGCCTTTACAGTTTCCGCGTGTCCCTGCAGTCAGCTGACCGGTGTGTTATGCGGAAACACGTGGCTCAAGGCTTATTATGATAAAGTCCTGCATCTGATGGTCTCCTGACAGACGGAGGGCCGCATCAGGGGCCCCTGCGTCATGGGGACTGTGACACAAGAATGATGTGGTTGAATACTATGTGTGTACTGTGTTGAGAGCAGTCACGTGTTAACTGAAGTTACTATGGTCACTTTAGTTGTTTTAAGTAACTTTAGTAATATGCTAGTTATAATGAAAGTCACTCAAGATATGTGTATTATAAATGTATGCATAATAATGTTAATAGGACTTTTTAAACTGGCACACATTTAAGGGCACATTTGACTTTATTTTCTAATTAGAAAAATATTTTCTAGCATTTTTTTTTATTAAAAATGTTTTACTTTTAGTATAGTAAGTATGTTTATTTATATAGCACATTAGGTCACCCAAAACAATGTTCAGATGTTGTTGCAATCACTCCACACCTGGTGATATCACTCCACATCTGGTGATGACAGAAGTAGGTTAAATCCGTAATGTTATCATAGGTTTTCAGGTGGATGTTCAGCAAGGGTTGTCATTACAAAATGTCAAAACTGTTTTTAACTGTTTTTAAGACAATACACACATGTGGCAACACTGTTACATTTTATTTGCATATTTAACATATACTATTACAATTTTATAATAACTTGCCCAGTGCGGCTCAAGAGTATTAAACTATTTGAACCGTTTACAGGCCTGATTTATTATATGCCTAGAATAAAAGCACCCAGATGTATTTCAAATCAATACTTGAAAATGCTTGCCATTCATTGTATAACACGCCATTCCTGAGGTAAGGTACAGCATACACTGTATGGTCACTGTGGGGAAATTTGTCCTCTGCATTTGAGCAATAATGTAAGTAGGGCTTCTGTCACATCATAGATACATCTTCATAATGTAAGTAGGCCAATATGTCAGTGGAATCCAGATGTCAGAATGAAAACACAAACTGATATTGTGTTTTATTTTCTTGCTCTATAGTTTTTAAATACACTTTTACGTCCTTTTATCGCGTGACATTTACTGAACAATGACACGGAATCGATAAGTGCCTGAAGAATAAGCTGTACTGAAGTTGCCTGTCCATTTTGAGCGCTTCCTGGTTGGGTGACGTCAGTAGCCCCGCCCCTTCACTGCCGCTCGCTCGCTGAAAGAAGGGGGGAGAGAGAGAGGCGCAGGAGGAGACGCGCGCATGGCTTCAGTCTGCAGCGCTCCTCCCGGGTCTGCACATTCATTCCATGTACACGAATTGAATTACATTGTACTTCAGAGGGAAAGACTTTTGAGAAACTCTGTGGTTGTTTCTTTTTACTCTTTAAATTCATGTCTTTGCGTCGGCGTTATGAAATGCGGTGAAGGTACAGTACGCAGACTTTGCAGTAAACCTGTCCTTCCTGCTTTACTTGGACTTTCAGACAGTTCTTATTGCTGCATGCGTTTAGGGCCTATCCTTTTTTATTTAATAAATAGATACAATTCTGTATATGTACAACTATTTTTATTTTTATTTAGGTTAGGGACAAATACGCAGAATAATAAATTACGCACGGCTTTTTTTCTGTTTGTAGAATTGCTAAAATGGTCACAACACATCTCAATTATTTAAATAAAAAAACCTGTATTGTCAATTGTTTCTGTCTTGTTTTTTGCTTTGAGTTAGATATTAAATCACTAACTCATATTTGGATCCCATAAAGCCGAACTCTCGAGCCCAATCTCCTCCTATTTCCCCATGAGATGTAAATAGTTGTATTTGCATGCAAGAGGTGATTCATAACATGTCAAGGTTGTGAAATATATGGTGATATTAAAACTTTCTATTTAAATGTCGTGAATTATGGTTGCAAAATTGTGTTCCCATTTAAGGGGAATGCCGAGTATTTTGGTGTCTGCTGCAGAAGCCCATTCGTCATACGGACAATAAAGAGGGTTTTCGCCTGACACTGGAAATTTATGGTTGCCCTTCTTTGCCCTAATAACTCACATATTGTGTCACGGACTGACAGCCTTGCACAAAACAGCAAGCCTGTTATCAATCACACATCTTTGCATATTGTTCCCCTTTTTACTGCCAGACAAAACTATGAGAGCAGTTACAGAGACACCGCGCGCACTTTTCTACTCTTTCAGGCTATAGAAATGTTGGCATGTTGATAATAAAAGTGGGATCAGAATAATAAAGAATAAGAAAAATGGATAATTGTTTGTAAAAGTAGACAAGAGAAAAATCAATTTTATGACATTTAAATAAAATAAAAGTGACGTCTTGTCAAATGAAGGCCTGGTTTTAGTGTTGTATACAGCCACACGTATCACGCATTTTTATTCACTTACCAAAATGTAAAATCTAACTCATACTTTTATTTTTTGCTTGTAGCAGCTGTCCACTCCAGCTTTTCCTGCTCCCAAACTTGACCTGTCAAACAGATTACCACAGAAAGAGATTAATGGCAGAGGCGGGTTGCAATAATAATCTTTTTGTTTGATGTGACAACTTTGATAGGCGTTGATTTACTTACAAACTGATAGGCTTTTAATTGAGCGCCTCCATCCCGATTGAGATGAAAGGAAACCCGCATTGAAAAGCTGCCCGATTGCCCCGGAGCCTCAATACTGATTAGCCATCTCAGCGGTGAATAGTTCAAGGCATTTTCAACTTCTTTTCTCCGCAGCCTGACACCCCATCCTTCTTCTTTTCTTGTGCTCAGTGCGCTTTACTGGCTCCTAAAGGAAATAAATCATTTTCATTGTATGTAAATAAAATCGAAGTGACATGGATATAAAATGTCTGGAGTTCTTTTGTGCGCTCTTTGTTGTTCTTGTTCTAGATGACAGAGCCCGAGGCACATGACACGTTTGGACAGACATGGACATGGTTCTGTTCGGAGTCACCGTCTTGTTACCATCGCCCCGGGTGACTTGGCTCGACTGGGTTTAATATTGAGAAAATAATGTTCTTCTTTTTTTAATAAAGACATGTTAGCATAGTTAAGCGTTTCTTTTAAGTCCCCGTTTCACCCGAGGCTTTTTCCTAACGGGATAATAAGCAGAGAGAGCAACTATTTGAGCACCTTTTAGCACTTAGCATGTGAGCGCCACTGTCTGCAAGTTATTAAAGTTTCATCAGTGTCCCGTCACCTCCAGGTGCTCTATGAAGAGATCACATCTCGAACAGCCGCTGCTCTTCGCCTGTCGAGATCTGTAGAGCCTATTATTACGCATTAATGCTATTTCTTCTGTCGACCTCCAAATTAAATCTGATCTCGGATATTGTTTTCATCCCTAAAAGTTTGTCTCCTGTTGAACCTTTCTTCCCATTTGTTCTCTTCCCACAGTTGCACTGGCATGTAATCAGCCACAATGGCTGACATAAATCAAGCCACGGATTGACAGCGTCTGACAAATAACTGATTGATTGCGGTGGAGCAGAATTGACACTTGACGGAGGGGTGGAGACAGAAATAGAAGGGCGGTGTATATTATACTGAAAACATGTGACATTCACATCCCTCCATCACTACATTGGTCTATTCCTGTCAACGCTTGTCTGTTTAGGGAATTCAAGCCGATGTGGTTGGTCTTATGTTTGCCGGTGCAGAAACTATACTCTTGGCTATACTCTTGTCTGTGCGTAATGTGCAGCCATAGTGCGCCGTGTTGCCACTGAAAGAGTTTGTTTTACGCACAGGTGAATGTATTTTTCTCCATATTGTTTAACCAAATATCAGCCTCACGTCTTCGTCTCAGCAAGTTGCCCTATTGTAAACAGAGAGGGAGGATCCGGAGGTTTCAGGCAGCAGTACGCCCGACCTCCACTTTAAAAAGTGCGAGCGCTCACAGCAACCAACAGATTTGCACATATCTCCTCCCCCGAGCTGTCAAAATAGAGGCGCTTACAAAGAGGAGAACGTCACATCCCCTTGACCCTCCAATCACCTCAGGGTCCCATTTGATTGGAAGGCGGCAAAGGCTTTAATCTCGGACTAATTCAGCTGCTTTTGAAGTGAACATTTCGCGCAGTTCAGTCTTCGGGAGTACAGAGCGAGGAGCTGCAGACAGACGCACACACGGAGCAGCGCTCATGGTGAAGACGCAGCCACGGATCTCTGCGATAGCCTCGCACGGTCTCACTCCTTCGCCACTAGGATTTACTTGTTTTTTAACGTTTTCCACCTTTTTTGCCCGAGAGAGAATGCAATTTGGTTTTCTTGATGAATCTGACAAAGAGGTTGCCGTTTAATTTCCTGACTAGTGGGACATGAGCACGTCTCCATCGGCGTCTATTCTGAAAAATACCGATATTCGCGTAGTCTGGGAAAGGAGCGGTTCACGGAATAACAGCTCAGCGAGCACCAAGCCCTTTCTCCACTCCGCACCTCCGTCTGACCCACTACGGCAAGCGAGCAGACTCCCTATCAAGATCTTGAAGATGCTTACTGCACGCTCGGGACACATTTTGCACCCGGAGTACCTGCAGCCTTTGCCTTCGACACCAGTCAGTCCCATCGAGGTACGATTCACATCTTTTATTTGTAATTTTACTTTAGTGCTTTTCTCGCCTCGTCATTTCAGGCTTGTATTGAAAAGAAACAAATAGGTTTTGTCTATTCGCTGGTGTTAGAGTAACTATCTATTGCTGCATGTGCGTAAAGTAGTTTGTTCAGTTTTGGTTTTATTTTTATTTGATTTGTTTAGCGTGCGTAATAGTTACGGTCTATGGTACAGGGAATGTTGAAAGTATGCATCACAAACACTACGTAGATGCGTGCGCAAATAACTGCTATTTACTGACAGATGTGTATTCTTTGTTTTACAGTTAGATGCCAAGAAGAGTCCGTTGGCACTTCTGGCGCAGACATGCTCTCAGATTGGCAAACCGGACCCACCGCCTTCTTCTAAATTATCCTCCGTGACGCCAAATGGATCTAGTGAGAAGGAATCTAAATCTGGCCCTTTGAAACTCAGCGACATCGGTGTGGATGACAAATCAAGTTTTAAACCATACTCCAAGCCTTCCGACAAGAAAGACTCGTCCTCGGGAGGAGAGAAGACTGGTTTCCGAGTGCCGAGCGCCACCTGCCAGCCGTTCACGCCGCGCACAGGCAGTCCCAACTCCAGCACGTCCGCCTCTCCTATGCCGACAGAGGGCAAGTGTGGAGACAGAGACGACAAGAAGGAGGCAGACTGTAACAAAAATGGCAGCTCGGACAGCTCAGGCACCACGAGTCACAGTCGGATAAGTGTAAGTTGTGGTGGAATTAACGTAGAGGTGAACCAGCACCAAGAGACGACGCCTGGCTCTAAAAACACTTCCTCCTCGGAGTCCTCTTCTGTAACTTCTGTTTCCTCTGCGTCTGTTCTCGGTTCAGGACTTGTAGCCCCCGTTTCTCCATACAAACCAGGACAGACAGTTTTCCCCTTGCCTCCTGCTGGCATGACGTACCCGGGGAGTTTGGCCGGGGCCTATGCGGGCTACCCTCAGCACTTTCTGCCCCACGGGGGAAGTCTGGTGAACGCACAGTTAGCCAGCTCTCTGGGCTGCAGTAAGGCCGGCTCCAGCCCGCTGGCCGGGGCCTCTCCACCCTCCATCATGTCAGCCAGTCTCTGCAGAGACCCTTACTGCCTTAGCTATCACTGTGCCAGTCACCTGGCAGGCGCTGGGGCATCGTGCACGCACGAGTCTGCAGCCGCGGCCGCAGCGAACGCCCTCAAGTCCAGTTACCCCCTCATGTACCCCACGCACCACATCCACGGAGTCCACTCCTCAGCCCCCTCTTTTAGCGGACACCCCCTGTATCCATACGGCTTCATGCTCCCCAATGACCCCCTGCCTCATGTGTGTAACTGGGTTTCTGCAAACGGACCGTGTGACAAGCGCTTTTCCAGCTCTGAGGAGCTGCTGAGCCACCTGCGGACTCACACTGCGTTCACCGGGGCCGACAAGCTCATGTCGGGCTATCCTGGCTCTTCGTCCTTGGCCAGCGCTGCTGCAGCCGCCATGGCCTGTCACATGCACATGCCTCCTTCTGGGGCCCCAGGGAGCCCCGGGACTCTGGCCCTGAGGAGCCCGCACCACGCGCTTGGACTGAGCAGCAGATATCACCCCTACTCCAAAAGCCCCCTGCCCACCCCCGGTGCCCCAGTGCCCGTGCCCGCAGCCACTGGGCCCTACTATTCCCCTTATGCACTGTACGGCCAGAGACTGACTACAGCGTCTGCGCTTGGATACCAGTGAGACACGAAAGTTTATATAAGATGCAAATATAAAGACGTTTTTATGAACTGCGCTAAACAGGGCAGCCCCGTGGACTTGGTGTATTTATTTAAAGTCGGTATAAAGTAAGAGAATAGATGCAGACGGATGGAGCAAATCAAAGTGCATTATGTTGAGCTGAACGATGTTAAAGTCAAACACACGTTAGATACTAATTCAAATAGGGTCATCATTTCGATGTTTATTTGAAATTGATATGATTGTATTTGTTCTTATTTAATGTCTCATGGAAAAGAAAATAATTTACATGCATGTTTGTTTCTTAAAATACAAAATGTCCACATTTTAAATTGCCGTTATTTTTCAGATGTAAACCTTGGAAAGAGAATTGGTATTTTTTTGTATGTATTCTGAAAAATAACAAACGATTCTGTTCCATAGACTATTTCAGTGTGCTTCATTTTCTCACGTACATGATTCACACGAAACTGGGCCGATAAAGGCTGCATCATTCTGCACTTTTGAATAGTTTTACAGAAAATAGACAAATCACGTCCACAAAAATGTTCTTTCTGAACCTGAAAAATCCAAAGAATGAAACATTGTATTTAGGCACGTGTTCTGGTGGATGTCTGGACAATTTGCTGTTAAAGCTCCTTGTGCTCCAGCGCGCAACTTTATTTTATTATTATTAGAATATTAATAATGCTCATTATTAATAGGCTCCAGAAACATGGCGTTTGTCAGCTGTTTATTATGAACACATTTGAATAAAGGCGCTGTCAGGAATTTTCTAGAACGAAAAAGTTGAAATACAAACAGAGTATTGTTTTAATAAAGAGTAAATAAATGATGAGGACACATGTCGACAATTGCATAAAAAAATAAAATAATGTACCTAATAGTCTGGCCTTAATTGTTATCATTGATATGTTATCAATTATTCAATTTCTAAATATTTAACACTTAACAATTCACTTGCACACAAGTACGTGTGACTGCAAGTTTTTAAATACTTGTTAAAACTGTATAATCATTTATTGTATACTCTTTAACTATATCCACAATGGGCCTTTTTCAGTGTGTGTGAGAGAGCAGGGCACACACACACACACGCACGCACACCACGATCACACATGCTATAGGCTAAATAAGTTATTCAATTGTATTATATTTAAATGGTATTTCAACAGTGACATATCAACTCCTTTAAAACATACGTGCAGGGTCCTTGGTTCTCACATAACATCCTAGAAATAGTCCAATAGTAAAATGACCTTCGACTAATAATTCTCAAACATAGATGAAGTCACGGTGTATTTTAACAACACAACTGAACTGGACATTTTTACGCACAGATCTGACGCATGGCCGCTCTTATTTATTTAAAACATTTCCTCAGATACAGAGCGTCACTTCTCTACGTATACGGCCCAGCAGTTAGTCAAATGAAACAAACTCCTCTCCGGGTGCTGCGTACAGAGGGCCCACACGCGTCCTAAACTGATGTAATGACGGTGAAAGGGAGCAATTTCCATTTTTACCCACATCATGGTGGCTGTGCGCGGAGGTCCCCGGTGGAAGGCAATTTATCATGCGCCCCTCCCCCTGGACCTGTCAGCGGAGGAACAGGCAGGCACATGTGCGCATGAATTAGGCAGACCGAATCTCCCTGGCTCTCTCCCCTCTCTCCCCCCCACCTCCTCTCTCTCCCCCCTCTGCACAGGAACATGGGGATTAGACTATGCAGAGCAGAAAGTACACAGTCACTTTGTCCATCAAGGCGCACACAGGCGTGGAGACTCAGGGAGATTTAAGAGGACCAAACACTGGAGCCATCACACACCCTGGCTGCATGGGACATTCAACATATGTGTGGATATGGCCTTATGAGAAAACTTCGAAAAGTATGTAGAAAACACAGAAACAGAATATACAGAGAAAACATACTCACATGATTAAACTTGTATCCGTTTTATTAATGAAACCAAAAATAATACATCACGTTTTTCGTTATATGCACAAACTTGACTAATGTAAAAGCATGTGTTTGCTAATAAGCTAATGGCATAATTTAAAACAAACATATAGTCAGTATGTATTTCAAACTTATTTACACACAATAAAAGAAAAAAAAAAAGAAATACATAATACATATTTTGAAAAAGAGACGGACAAGAGAGACGCTTATTTAGCTCCAAAACCAAAAGTAAATATAATTCTAAGACAATTCAAGCTCATTCTGATCCTAAACATACATTTACTCACGAGATGATATCGTTACATACAAGAATTACAAAAAATGGAGCAGAATACAGTACTCAAATAAACACATCATTATGGAGAAAAGAAGAAATCCGAGGCACTTTTGACTGTAAATAATATGCTCCAAAGAACAAACCATAGGCGAGGTGTTTCGGCCACATTCATCAGGGCAAGATTACACGGTACTAGGTGTAGTTTAATCAGTACCTGTCACGTGATCTACACAAGATTATGGTTTAAGATTTTAATAATTGGGGGTCGCAAGGCTGTTTCGGGGTAATATTTAGGGTCCCGACTTGAAATGTTTAAGAATCTCTGTAGGGCTATAACCAGTTAATAAATGAATCGCAATTAATGTATTATCAAAATAGTTGTGAAGTAATTTAGTTAATCCTTTGTTGAGCCTTACATACACTTACACATCCTCAGAAGAGGTTTTATGACTCAGAAATGTCTATAATAACTGTAGATTGAAATGAAAATATGTTGACAAAGTATTCTTAACCAAACAGCCTAATGCATATATATAATGTGTAACTTCTCTATGAAGATGTTCTCTATGGGCATCACTGGAGCTTTGTTTTGGTCAAAGAAATCTCATATTTCCGACACTGACCTTTCAGGATGAAATCAAAGTAATCTAAAAGAATAATCGGCAGACTAATTCCTTATCAAAAAAACGTGTTTAGTGCAGCCCTACAGCCTGTATTACCGGACTGCAACTGAAGCAACGTGAGGAGCCTGAGTCAAATTTACCATTTAAAAACGTCACACACTTTAAGACTATAGGAGATTCTTTATTCATCCCACAGTGGGGAAATTCCAGTGTTGCATCACAAGTTACAGACCGTAGGAAAGAGGAGCACACAGCACAAGATAAATGGATAATGAGCCTATACTAAAATAGAATAAAATAAAATCTCTAACTAGCATAACTTACTCATATGAACAATTTCAATGCAGTGTGATATATTACAACCGTATTGAGCGCTTTAAGTGACCTTGCTCTATAAAATGCGCTATATAAATAAATATAACTTACTTACTAACTTACTAAACCTGGAAATAGTAAAACACGGACATAGCATCAGTTATTGAAGCACAGTGGGCAGTCGCTGCATTTGTGGATTTCCCTTTACACTTCCAAGCAGGACATCTGTTGGAGGGGGGGCCCAGAACGTGCCCATCCCCAGCCCCAGCCCCAGCCCCAGCTCCAGCCTTCCCCAGAACTACCACCACCGGGGCTGTCATTAGTGGGTGTGTGGCGCAATAAAGAGACATGGCGTCATCTTCGCAGGCAAGTGTGTAGTTTGGTAACAGCTGTCTCAATACGGGAAGTTGTTATAAAGTATAGCTCCTGACTCCAGTGTGATTATTATGTTTGATGCGCTGTGTGTGTGGTCATCAGGGTGATAATTACAAGTTAGCATATAGAGTCGCATCATAATAAACAATATGGAGTTTGTTGTGATGCTCATATACATAACAGAATTCAGAATTGTTTTTTATTGCCATTTACTCACTATCAGGAGGTCCACCAACTACAAAATCGCTTTGGCTCTAGTTAAAGTCTAAATGTAAAAATAGAATAAGACAGGCATGAAAAGAAATACACATATACAGTACATAATGTTTCTTTAAAATGAAGCTAAAGCGGGAATTGAGGCTGGAAGACAGGAAGAACTAAGCTCACAGCGTTCCAAGTACTCCCACTTTTGCTTGACGAAATCTTAACCACATGTCGCTACAGAAGCAACAAATGTAATCTTGAAAATATTGTCCTCAGATTTGTGCTAATGCGCTAATATATGTCAAACAAACTTGCCAACCAACATAAACATTTTTTATTTTCTTAGATCACGGAGCGCTAATATTTTTTTTAACTCCTAGTTTTTCAATTGTAGGCCTTTACCAAGTGATAGAAATGATAGAGATTTCAGTTCCTTTAAGAAGATATGTGACCTCAGAGTCGTGCTAATGTGCTAATTTATGTCAGATTACTTGCCAACCAACATACATTTCTAATAATACCCATGTTTTGCCTGTTCAAGTCTCTCCAGATTAAACCATTACTACGTACAAGTGCACACAATAGACAATTAGCAATGCTGTAAAGTGACATAGCATCAATATATATAGCTTTTATTATTTTTAGCTTTACCGTTGACTGAGGTACGTTCTGAGAGTCACATGTACTTCAGCCGCAGTAAAATCAGTTTTAACATCCTCCACAGCCAACTGCCATTATCTCAGTGATTGATGGGTATATAGGCTGCAGAGGTGTCCGCTGCTGTGTGATTGCAGTAATGAAGTCATAAAACGAACAGCATGAGACAAAGCAGCCACTCAGTGCTTGTAAATAGATCAGCAGCTTGAGGGAAATGTTAGCTAAATGTTGGTATTTATTTGGCAAATATGAAAATTCAACGTTTCACACTGGCATCACCAGTTACAAAAGAGAACGAATGAGGAACACACAACACAACATAAATGGATACAGTTCTATGCTAAACTCTCTACTAAATAAAAGAAAAATCACTAGCTTTAGCATAATAAGGAAGCACGAAGTAAGTACAAAATCTTTAACTTTAGCATAATAATAAAGAAGCAAGTGTAAAGTACTACACTCTATTGCAGAAATATATAGTTGTATGTCAATAAATGTACATATTAGCAGCTACAAGATACAGTTATAATACAGTAGATTGACAATGTAGAAATATTTTGGGAGTTTTAGAAGAATGTGGTGAAAATGC